GGGGTTCATATATAGAACCCTATAGGGTTTAGGGTTTGGGGTGCATATATAGAATCCTATAAGGTAACCGTAAAAAGGAACTACTATGGGGCCTATGGGTACCCCTGTAACTTGAGGTGTCTTGAATTGAAGGCAGCTTGGGGGATGGCGAAGCGGGGTAAAGGAATCTCGAGGCTTGCAGTTTTGCTGTGACCCTCGGAGAGTAAAGAGAGTTCTGGGAGTCACCCTAAACCGTAAACCCTAAACCCTAAACCCTATAGGGTTTAGGGCACATCCAGCGCGTCGAGTGTTCATCTCGGGGGCTCAAGCTAAGTTGGAGCCCTAAACCTAACCCTAACCCTAAACCCTAAACCCTAAGCCCTAAACCTAACCCTAAACCCTAAACCTTAAACCCTAAACCCTAGACCTAACCCTAAACCCTCAACCCTAAACCCTCAACCCTAAACTAAACACGGCAGGCAAAAACAGCTGGTCCTTCCCGTCGAAAAGCTGAGGTTTGGACTGGAAAAGCGCGTGTCTTGCATCGTTTGCAACAGTCTTCTTTTAAGGTTTGGGGTTTAGGGTTCAGGGTTTTGGGCTTAGGGTTCGGGGTTTAGGGTTCAGGGTTTAGGGTTAGGGTGCACTTTCTTCTCCAGTCTTCCTTGGAGCTATTGACTTAGGGGCTGAGTAGGAAATTTAACTTTTTGGGGCTTATATAATCCTACTATGATTCAAAAGGTTAACCTTGTTTGGGCTAGGGTACTCAGCCCCTAAGTTGACGAATCGATGTATCAAGAATGCTATCAGACTATGCTTCTGTAGTGGTTTTAATTCTCATTCTTCGATGTCGAACTCACCACAGATCCTAATGCTTGATTTCTTTCGAGTCCACTGAAAATGGTACAATCACGAGCATATTGGAGGGTCTGTCATATATTGCAAACTAAGTTTATGATTACGGTTGCGAGTAAGGGATAACTGCGTTCAGTTACACCAGTTTGTCTCGGCAAAGGTCACCAAACCTCATGTGTAGTTTTGGCATTCGTGGTTTGGACAAAGCCTCTCTGCAGAGAGACAACGGCTTGTCCAAAATGAAAAAGCTTTCTTAAACCCTAAACCCTAAACCCTAAACCCTACTCCTAAATCGGCACTGCCTCCAGCCGAATTTATGCAGTAATTTCCCGCGGCAGTCGGGCAGGGCCAGAGATCTAAGGGTCATATCATCAAAGTACATGATACCATGCTATTTTGTAGTATGTTATGGTATATTATATTACATCATCCCTCAACCCTAAACCCCTAAACATTACATTATACGAGGCTTTGTTGTATGATAGATTATCAGCTGCGTGTTCCGGTTAGCGTCGACGGGAGTCCGTCCTATCTGTTCCTCGAGCAAAGCTGGCCGTTCTGTTCAAACACAGCTGTTTACTGTAGGGGCCTCAATAATTACCTATACTATTTTGGGGGTTCCTTATTATAGTTATAGTATAAAGGGCCCCAGAACCCTATTCTAATTACTAAGGCCCCTGTAGTACTTTGTGACGAGTGGCATGCTTGAAGGTTCGAGTCGGAAGTGAGTTACATCTTGGAGCTGTTCAGAAGATCAGGTTGGAATTAGAAGCGAAGTCGGGCGTCTCCAGATTTCGTGTGCAGCTCGCTACATGAAGTCAGAGTCAGGTTTAGATTGCCAGCATCCCGTAAACGACACAGAAATATGCACTCACCACGACTCGTAAGGAGCTGTAGTCTAGGTACACTCCTTTCAACCCGAATAGACACTCTACCCGACATGACGTTCCAAGCCATGTCGCATTTCCGCCTTGAGCAGAAGTTCACACTGGGCACATGGGTGTTTCGGCGAAACAACCCCTGATGACGGTTTAGGGTTTAGGGTTTAGGGTTTTAGGGTTTAGGGTTTAGGGTTTATCTGATGAGTCAGGGCTGCTTGCTGTTCTTGTTTGATGTGGGCTTGTGTCAAGCAGTCTGCAAGCATTGCTAACGGCAAGAACGGCCCCCGCCATTCCAATCCGGGCAGGTGGAGCCCTACGCCCTAAACCCTAAGCCCTAAACCGTGGCCGAGGTGCTATCGTTCATTCTGAGCGGATAGGCCCCAGCTCAGGCTCTCGTCACTGACCTCGAGAAAACGCCCAGCAGCGTCTAATGTAGGGGCCTAGCCCAAAACCCTATGCTAATCATTAAGGCCCTTACACTAGACATATGTTGGGTTTTCCCCATTCTTCACATGCCTGTTTTTGTTGCAATCTTGCCTCAGAGAGTATGTTGACCACTGCATTTGTAAGCGTCACATCGCGGACTGACGATGCTGCACGCAGCGAGGTAGTTTGTTCCTGGATTCCTGTGAGTCTGTGAAGTATAGGCTTCTTGTTGGTGATGCTGTCTTGAATCCTCCTTCACGCTCCATGTTCGCGTCTAGTCCGATCAGGGGCAGTGTAATTTGGACTGATTTTGCATATCTACTCTGTGGTGCTAGTTCAGGAGTACCGGCGAGCGTCTTATTCCGAACGCCCAAGGTTACCGTAAGAGAAGACCGTCGACGAGCAATCGGCAAGAACGTGTCCGGGACACCTGCGTCCTGGCATGTTCTACGGGCCATGACTACATGGGTAGTTTTCTAAATTAGGGTCCCTTTTAGGGTCCTTTTTATAAGGGTGCCGTACTCTATTTGGGACCCAAAAATGGACCCTAATTTAGAGAACTTCCCACATTTTGCTGCGTAGACCCCTTCAACTTCTGGCCAGACACACTTGAGATAAAAGCAGGCATCTTATCAGCCAATCCAGTTCTTTGTTATACTGCCCATGCTAGAGCACTGCCTTTCATTCTCCGGGCTTCACTTCCCCAGAGTCGAGCTGGAACTGTCGCAGTTCATGGTCATCCTAGCTACAGCAATGGATGCCAAGTTTTCAGCCTGCGTCGAAGCAGAAAGAAACCCACAACCCTACACCCGGAACAACATGCAGCCTGAGGCGCTAATCAGTGCGGTCTCCTCCGAAGACGGTTGCGCCCCCAGTGTTGGTTGCCGCGAGGTTCAGGAAGCCTCAAGCCTACGTCTAGAGTTTAGTTTTAGGGGTTAAAGCTCAAGGACTACCTGTAACCGAAAAGGCCTACCTCTTTCCGGGACTATATATAGAAACCATAATAAGGAATCCTAAAAAGGTAGGTCTTTCCGGCTACAGGTAGAGTTTGCGGTTTAGACTACAGGGTTTTGAGTTTAGGGTTCAGCTGAAGTTGAAGGTCTACGGTTATCCCTGAGCCAGTGCTTGTCACAACACGAGCGCTCCATCGCCACATGCAGCTCCTTCGTTTCAAGCGGGTCACTAAGTCTACTTACATTGAATTTAATAACCTGTCATGCAGAGGTAATTCTGGGTGACGTGAAAGACTTGTCGAAGCAACCTGCAGAACTTTGGACAGCAGACTGAGTTTTTTCCGCTGCCACATAGCTTACTGCTTCTGAGCCTCTGCCGATACGGCTTTCCATTAACGGAAGCAGTGGGGGATTCTTGCTGCGCCGGCTAGTGGAGAAGCGGTACACCGGGCGTTGAAGGAGATGTGCTTGGCTGACGTCTGAAGCACTCGCAAGATGTTTGCTTCCGATGCCGGACAGGCTGCTGCAGGCGTAAGCAGGAGTGATTGAGGAGTTACAGTGGAAGACGTAGGTTCTGTGCGTGCCGGACAGAAGGACAGAGAAGAGTGCCATGCGAAGGCAAGCTGTACACACTGCGTCGTAGAGCTTCCCACTCCGTGCGCGTCGTCTTCATCCGCTTATGAATAACAACGTAGAATATACCTCAAACCCCTACTCTATGTATGACCTGGTCCCCTATATTACCAGGTGCGACCATTCTGTATCCAGATCTGCTGGCTTTTGGTAGCCGTGGCTACTTCCGAGAGGAGCACCCGGGTGGGGATTTAGGGCTCTGAGTTTTTTGTCGACCCCCAGGTTTCATCCTTGTCTACGCCAACCGTATTGCCCAATGGGTGAATCCCACCAGTAGGACCACGAGAACTGTCGTGATATAGATTTTGTCGAAGATTTGCTACGGGTCCCGCAAACCAGAGCAATGGCCACCAGGCTTGTCCGCATTCCCATTCTGGTGGTCCGTGCTTGTACCTTGTTTTCTCCACTTCGGTTCTGTTCTCTGTCGCTGGATGCATGCACGGCACTAGGATGTGGCCCGCCGGTGTGCAGGAGAATGTGCCGCTGAGCAAGCTTCGCCACCACGAAGGGCCAGTGAAGGCCGACTTTGAAAGGGCTCTCCGGGTAGCTACTTGAAGCCCAAAACCCTAAACCCTAAACCCCTATTTTTCTGAGTCTTCAACTCGAGACCTGATCTTCTCGGTATTCGCCCTAGATGTGCTCTGGTTGTTGAGACCTTTAAACCCGATTACTTTGGTTTTGGGTGAGGGCTTCAGGCTCAGAGTTCAAGGCTCTGCACCATGAGCACAAGAGTATCGTCAAAAACAGCAGCAGAAAGACGCGCCATGCACTTACATCAGTGGTGGCACATGGGAGTTTCCGAAATTAGGGGTAGCTCATCTTGGGGTCCTTATAATAAGGATCCTACTATTTAGGGGACTATATTTGGGTTCCCTATTTTCGGAAACCCCCACATGGTAGAGCCGATACTGTAGTCTGTTGTACCTTATGAGTTCGCGAGAGAAAGGGGTCAGGAGATTGCTTCAACAAGCAATAAAGAACTCCTACCAGTCTAATGAGTCCAATAAATACAGTAGGGCCTTAATCTATTTGAGTATGGTTTGGGCGTATATTACACTATAAATATATGGAACCCAAAAATAGTATTGGTAATTATTTAGGTCTTCACATTATGGCGCCAATGAGTCTAAGGTGCCAAGTCGTCAACTAGGTTTGCTTGCTGCTGACACTGGGTTCTAAAGCTGAGTTGGTTCCTACCCAAATAACTGTGCCCACCCATGATGCAACGACAAGCAACACACATACGGTGATACAATCATACGGCGACTTCAGTAGCCCAAGTCAGAAGACCATGGCAGAAACTCATCATCCGTTTATCATTATTCTCTCATCGAAGCCAGTGTATCTCTGCAGCCAGATTGCAATGTCTAGTCCACAGTCGTGCAGTTCAGGGTTCCCAGAATGGTCTTCCGATGTAGGGCTATATAGCGGCCTAAGTAATTACCTAAATTATCTTGGGGGGTTCCTCATGATCGTTCTAGTATAATACTAATACCCTGAAAACCCTCTTCCAATTATTAAGGCCCCGTACATGAGGACCATGGAGGCCGCGGCTTTCATTTTGGGCCAGTGCAGGGTACAGTGCTTGCGTGCCAGGTGGTCGAGAGAAAGCTGATCCAGGCAGACACCTAGGGGTCTGGGATATAAAATCCTCACCTGTAGCCGGAAAGACCTACCTTTTTGGGATTCCTTACTATGGTTTCTATATAACGTCCCTGAAAAAGGTAGGTCTTTTCGGTTACAAGTAAGCCCTAAACTCGAAAGATCTGTCTGAAGGTTTCGGGGTTTAGTGCTTCCAGAAATTCAACTCTCCCAGGCCCTGACATAGGAGCCGTACCTACAAGGCCACATGTTGCTTGATAGTGCCTAGATAAGCACCCCAACATCTACCCCAAAACCCGATCCTGATGTTACGGCCCCTAAACCCTAAACCCT